TAATATATTATTTAAAGCATCTAATTTTTTAAAATTTTAAATTTCAACATTAGAAGACTTATTTCAAAATTTCAAATTTAATGATCTAAAAATATAACTTTTTTTCAAATGAAGGGTGTGTTGGTTGGGCAGACTTTTGGGCTAGGTTTCGGGCTTAATAATAGATTTGAGGGCAAACTCAAGCCCTCTTTTTAAGGATATTGAATTCGGGCTCAGGTGGGTCAATCGAATTTCGTACCTATTTTTTTGAGTCGGATAACGAGACCCGTGGGTAATCCTGTCCATAGACACCCTTAAAAGTGACATGATATTATCGATGACACATAATATCACTAATCAATTATAAATATTTTTTTATGATAGCAATCAAGGATGCCTTAAATAGAGAATTTTCCTAACGTGGCTATTGGTAACATAAACTCCATTATTCTAGCATGACATTTATTAGATAAGGATATTATTGGTAGATATTAAAACTTCCTAACCCACTAAATTTACTTATTATTTTATCACTAATTAATAATATTATATAATATTAATAATATAGTGTAGGAATAACTTTTCGATCAATCAAGAAAGAGAGAGGGAGAGAGAGAACCATTCGGGCAGGAATATACTAATAATAAGTAGGAAGATCCTATGGTAGCCACCATGCAGACAGGACGTTGTACGAGGTGGCAATAATCTAATAAAAGGGCGGTGGTAGCGACAAAATATGTGAATATATATATATATATATTGGACGTTGACTTGGGAAGTAAGATAGGGAGTACCCAACAAACTCCTTCCACATAGTTTCTTCGACTCTTCCTATGGCGTTTCTCTTAGTACTTGTTTTTTGACCGTTATAGAAAAAGATTGTCACCATTTGGCAACACAAGGAATTTAAACATTTTATAGACTCTTTTTTGTCTCAAACCACCGGCCAAAACTCAATGTTAATTACATGATAAAAGTTTTTAAGTAACTTCATTGAAGAGAGGCTATTCACATTACAAGTGATCACCATCACTATGTCTATCAATGGATCCGAATTCAAATTCAAATTCAATTATTAATAACAAAGTTTTTTATTTTTATTTTTGGGTTTAATAGTCAAAAATATTTGAACCAAGTTACGTGCATTTCAACTAATCACCTCTTCAATTTACACGCACCTCGGCAAAGCTTTAACATCGTTCATTCGAGGTCAAATGTGAATCTGTTACATCATATTTCGCAGATTTATATCTGTATACATCAGTATCCTACACGACTATGATCCGATTAAGACTACATATAAGTATGTTGAAATCATAGTGATTTTTTATTGGAGTTGTTGAAATTAGATTTCTTTTTTAACAGATTCAAATATGAATCGAATGAATGAAATTCAATATAATATTAGACACGGATTTATACCCAAATTTTTGAATTAAATTCGAATCTGATAAAATTCAACCTTATTCGATCTTATTTACAAGCATAAATAAATATTAGTAATAATCCGTCTCTGAAGGTATGATAGAATATAAAATTCGAGATTCAAAAAATCGATTTCACTATATTAAATAATAATTTTTTTCTTTGATTACATTATTTAAAATTTATTTTTATCCATTAATTTTTTAAAAATATTGACAAAATTTTCTCAAAATACATAATTCGATAAAATTTTCTCAATATACGTATACTATTGTGTATGAAAAATATCTGAAATAAAAATTATGTTAAACTACAAATAAATCAAATATTAAATAATTATAAATGTAATAAAAATGAGTGATATAATAATTTTGAGAGAAAAATTATAAAGGAGATAAAATTTAATTTCTTATATATTTTATTATATAGATAGTTGGAAAAAGTGCCAACTGCTCATCATGTGGGTGGGACCCTTTATTTTATCCAAATCTTGCCGTTCAAAATGTGCCATGAAGTTGATTGCGTTTGAGGTTTTAGTCAACACGAAGATGTCATGTTCTAAACTGTCATTGGCATGGAATTATAAATAAATACATTGAAATTCTTGTTGGTCAAGCCATGATATCGTTTGTTTACATGAATCTTGCTTCTAGTTACATGTTATCAAAGGTTATATTTTCCGTTAACACAGCCTTATGATGACAATATGGGTCAAAAATTATTGACATTAATCCAGTATGAAATTAGCAGATATAAATTTAGAGTTAACGAGTCTGAATCATATATGATTGGGTGGAACTTTTGATGAATTGATCAATGGGTCGTTTATAGATCGAACACTCTTATACATTATAAGATTTACATGATTTCATTCAAAACAATACATAAATCGTCAACCTATCACAAAATTAACGGAGAATTAATTATATGATGAGTTAAGGCTAAAAATTTTTAATCATAAATAGTTTAATCTATAACTTCGTAGATAAGTTATATATGAATTGAACAAACTTGAATGGTATGGGCTTAAAACGACTCGGTTAACAATTTTCGATCAACTTGTTTGAAACGTTTAATAAACAGGTCATTTTCGGGTTAGTACATATGTTATTTTGATCTGTTTCGTGTTTAAATGTGTTGATCCGTTTTAATCCATTAACTCGTTTAACTTAGTGTCAAACCCATTAATTTTGTGTTCAGTTCGTGTTGTGTCAAAAATTAACAGACTTACTTCTAATCGTTGAATATAAAAAAAAAAAAAAAAGTGGTTAGGTTAGTAATGTTAAGGAGCTGGTTCCTTAGAAATTGGATAAAAAAAGTGAGAAAATATTAAATTAATTAAGTAGCAATTAATTAATTTGTGTAGGACCAAAAATATAATAGTCAAAAATACCCTTTATCGTCTAAGCTTTTCCTTTAGTGCCTCATGCTTTGGTCCTCTTCAAACCTTTCTCTTTCTTCCATTAAAATACAAAACCTTTTTCTAGAACACTAATCCAGAAAAGTGGCTGGTCGGTTAGGGTTGCATCCCCACCACCCAGCTGTTGACCACGTGAGAGGCTCGTGCCTCCCCTGGGGCCAGGGATTGAGGGAATCCTCCAACAAAGCCTCCGCTGCTAACGGTCAATTATGTTACCGTTGTGGGTGGGTGTGGTTTATTTTAAATATTCAAATGTTTTCTGACAGGTAAAGGAAGATATTAATGCTCCATTCAAACTGTCTGGTTTAACAGAAGAAGTAATTTTGTTTTGAACGATGTTATTGAGATTTAATTTATTAATTTAATTTGTTGATTTAATTCACTAAAATTTTTAATTGACAGTTGATTTCATTAAACATTGAAATTTGATATTGATCAAATGATTCCACTGAAACCGCATTATTATGTCAATAAATTATGTCAAATTTTTAGTTCTAAATATGATTATTCTTTTGCTTTAGAGACCCTAGAAAGAATGATGCATGTGTGAACATACAATTATTCAATAAAATTTTTGCTTTAAATGATCTCACACAATTATTACTAGTTTAAGTTATAGTAATCAGTTCAAATCTCGAGAAAATAATTAATATAAGTCGAAATACTCTGTAATACAATCATAATTATTTGAAAATTAGTGGGACTCACCACCCAATGGCTTATGTGGGTTGGTAAAGAAAAGTTAATAAAAAAAAGTTAATAAATCTAAACTTAGAGTTAATAAATCTAAACTTTTTTTTATTTATGTAAATTATTTGTTTCAGTTTCGAAAGAATAATCATATCTATCTTGATCTTATGTAAATTTTTTGTCAAATTTTTCAATAAATATGTTTTTAGCAATTTGATATTGAGATGTAATTAGAAAATTATTCTAAAATCCTCTAAGAATTACTCTCTCTCTCTCTCTCTCATCAAGACCACCAACCATGGCCACAGACAGTTGCTTAATGCTATCCCTATTACCATGATGTTACCTCATTAGATGAACTTGTTTTTTTTGCTACATATGGACAATGATGTATGTTTTATTTTTTTTGATCAGGACAATGATGTATGTTGAACTATCTATTTCATTGCCCTCATTCAGAAAAACCACATACATTAACCTTAAAGATGATGTAAACCTCCGATCAAAAGGCATACTAAGAGAAAGTTCAACAGTGCTAGTTGTAGATTTGGGGTTTTCATGGCAATTCAGACCTTAGAAATGGATCTATATAGTATTGCTATTTTATAAAATAAAAAAAAATGTATCCAATGCACGGGATCTCGTCATTACGAGCCTAAAAAGAGTTAAATATATACAGTTTTACTCTTATAAGTAGAAAGATTATTTTTGCAACTCGAATCTATAACTTTCAAATTACGATGAAATAGTCTTATTGTTACGACAAGACTTGTCATCATCCTCTTATTTTTTAGTTCAACGGTTAAGGGTGTCCAAGTTAACTTACAAATACTTCGACTAATCTCCTTTTTAAATCGGTTAAAGATGGATCATCTATATCAGAACTAGAATATTCATGAGAGTAATTCAGAGAATTAAATAATTTTTTTTGTAACTTTCTTGCTTTCCAATTTACAGAATTAAATTTTCTTAAAACTTTCTTACAAAATTTTTATCCTAATCAAACACATATAAGAAAATATATTTTTTTCACTTTCTTTTATTTAATTTTATTTTCTATCACTTTCATTTTTTATCATCTTTTTCTTTCTAACCAAACGAAAGCCTTAAACTAAGAAATTAACCTTCAACCGCCTAAACCCTTATCTTATCTGTAATTATCAATTACTTTGTCGGTAATTAGTCATTCAATTAACTTACTTAACACGTGGGCCATCCCAGATATACACCCCAAGTGGCATAGAAGCGGCCCCACACAAAGTTCCCCATCAAACCACACATTCTCATCCAACGGTCTACAATTCATCACAGACCAAAAACCGCTTCCCCAAGCCCCAACTATATATGTAGACAGCCTCCACTTGCATTCTCAGCTCATCCTCACTCCCAAAGACGCTCTCTCTGTCACCAACACTTCTTAGCCAGCAAACTCACCGGAAAAGTAAGATTCTAACGCCGAGATTACATTAAATTCTCACTGGAGAAAATGGTGTCTTCGAGTACTTGGATTCTCTCTCTTAAAGTTCTTTTCATATCCATTGGAGTTGTGTCGTTAGCTATGTTTATGAAGTTCTCTGTTCCATTGATTCTAGACGAAGTCCCGACGATATGGTCTACTGTTGTTTCGTGGTTGAAACCGCCGTACCTGTACGTCATCATCAATGGCATCATCATCACCATCGCCGCCTCTTCACGGTTTGGCCACAAACTAGATGACGAGCACACTCAATCCGAGCCGTTGGTCCCATCCAGGCCTTTACAATCAGATCTCGTCGCCGTGTCGGCTCAACCTGAGTTCGGTGATGTTGAGGAGAGACAAATGGTGGTGTATGAGAGTGAAGAGAAGGTTTTGGAGGTGGTGAATGGTTCGGAGATTGTTGCAGATGATGATGATGATGAAGAAGATTTGTTCGTTCTCTCGAGGTCTTCGTGGACTCCTTCGCACCGGAAAATTCCTCAGGGATTCAAACGGAACTTCTTTCGCGAGCGACGGAGAAACCTCTGGTTTCTGCTAGATTTGGTCACCGGAAACCAGTAAAATCCAGTCCTGAAGGTAATATTACTGAATACTGTATTATCTATATACTGTTAATAGCAAAATCTTAACGCCTAGAATAAGTTTTTGACCATCCGTCGGAGTTAATTTGAATAGTTAATTGATTTCTAGCGGCGTCTGCTAGAGATTCCTGGCGATTCTGCGGTCCATGTGCTGTGGAATCTCTGCATTAAACTGGCGTCGAGTCGACGCATAAGCTTTTGATCTATGCGAAGTTTCTCGATGTGACTCTGTGTTTATCACTTTATTGGTCTGATTTTCAGGCGTTAGGGCATTGAGGGTGGCGAAGCCAAAGAGGCACGAGACATTGGAGAACACATGGAAGACGATAACGGACGGTCGTCACATGCCACTCACGAGGCACTTGAAGAAATCTGACACGTGGGAGAATCACGGCCATCACGTGAACGTGGACTACACCCCTGATCACGTGATGAAATCAGAGACGTTCAAGGATCGTACGAACTATGATCCAGGGTCGTCACTGAGTCCGTCACCGAGTTCGGGGAAGGTTCGAAGAGAGCCGTCTCTGGGTCAGGACGAGTTGAACCGCCGAGTTGAAGCGTTCATAAAGAAGTTCAATGATGAAATGAGATTGCAGAGGCAAGAGTCGTTGAATCAGTATATGGAGATGATTAACCGTGGAGCCCACTAATTCAATTAAGGCTCATTAAAATTAAAAAAAAATATTTATAGGTTGTAATTTTTGGTCTTTTTCTTTGAAAAAAGAAAAAAATATATATTTTGGGTCAAAATAGAAAATAGAAAAGGGTCAAAATAGATAAATTTGAAAATATAAGTTTTTGTGGGTTGATTTACATACAAAGGGGGGATTGAGTGGAATTGTAGAAAGGTGTTGTGTAAAGGAACATAGATTGGATTGTTCTTTATTCTTGTATTAAGCATGGTCTGATAAATGATGATTATTAGTAGATATTGATGTAGTTGGTGTTGCAATTCTCTATTAGGCATGTGTGATACTCTTTTTCTTAGTTTGAATGGATATTTTTCTTTATTTTTTTTAAAATTTAGATAAAAAAATTTTTAACCCGATTATCATGTTTGAGATGTGATGAAATTCAAATTCATGTTGTTTTTGATGAATTTCTGAATCGATTGAGCATCCTCATCATTCTAATGTGATGTTTAATTTTATTTACTTGTTATCCTGTCGTGTAAGTTATTTTAGAGTTGTTTAGAATCACTTCCATGGTTACAATTGCAATTTTTAGCTTTGTTTTATTAGCCAACTTTAGGATGACTAATTCTTAAAAAAGTAGTTTAGTGATTGAATCTCCTGCAATTTAAAAATCTCAGATTCAATATCTTTTTTGCCCTTAAGAGTCGGTCACCCTTATTGAGGAACATGTTTAAATCCGTTCAGACTATAATGACCAATATCCGAGCTTTAAAGAATTATCGACACCTGCATATCTAATAACAAAAAAAAAATTACGATAAACTGCATCCACACAAACCCGAGACCACAAAATATATGCTCGGAGCCATCATCATTCCAATATACATCTCTCTCTCTCTCTTTCTCTCTCTAAAACAAATGGTGGGCCTTCCGAGTGAGGCAAGAAATCTAGCTTTGGAAAGATCAGGAAGACGATGAGAACAAAAACGAGGCCTTCAGCGATGCATGACCACTTCCGAGAGCCCTTTTGACGTTCCTTAGCTTCTTGCAGCTGTCAAGTCCCCAGTCTGACGAGGCTATCAATGGTGTTGAGCTGGTGGCCATGCGCTTCCACAAGAATTGCCAAGTCCATGAATATCTAATGCAGCTCGATCAAAATTATTCTCAATTTCTGATATGATGTCTACAATCCTTGTTTTTGAATGGCCTTTTGCTAGAAACTTTTGCTTTTTCCACCTGTTTCTGATATTATTCTCAATTCAATGGCTACTTTTCACCTGTTTCTCCTATATCTGTGGAGAACCTGTGTTCCATCATTTCCTTATACTCGGCTCCCATTTCTTTCTCAAACCATTAACCAGCAAAATTCTTGTTCGATTAGCAGATGATCCAATCCACACCCAGGTAGGTTCTGGTGAGCTGCATTGGACCAGTCAAGAGCATTGAGCTTCTTCTTCATGACCTTGACCTGTTTCAATACCAGAAGGTGCTCAAACATCATTCCCATTTGGGCTACCATCATTCATTAGGAGCCACAATTGTTTGGCTGATTTGGTCACCTCTGTTCCTTCTAACAGCTAAATCCTAACTTATCGCTAAGCAAAATTGCGAGTAAAAGTAATGCACAAGCAATTCTTCTTGACCCGAGAAAAAGAGAACATGCACAGGCTAAATTTACGTCTTCCATATAGGGAAGCAAGGTGAGCACCTATGTGGAAATAGTTGTAGCTTTGACCCATGACCCACGCCAGTTGCATCATCACTACTGTAGAGAAGGCCAAGGTAGAGAAATCAGTAAAACTACAACATAGTAATCAGAAAAATTATTGGTCTTGTAAGAATAAAACCACCTACCTCTCTTTATGTACGCATGAAAGAAGCGGATGGATACTGAAGCTGATGAATGCACATGGAAGCTACCCCTACCTTCATTGCACAGGACCTGCTCCAACGATGATATTCCATCGGATGAAAATATCGCTTATCTGTCAGTGGTTGATGTGGATGCCAGTGGATTAATGGGTGTAATGATATCATGGTTTGCTTCAGGTTTCTGAAGACTACTGCCAGAGGCAGTATTGCTGCTACAATTTCCCCCTCCGAACCCATCCTGCTTTGTCTGATTGCCCACCAAATTCCCATTGCTGATGGAATTAGAGAACCTCTGTTGCCTGAGATATGTCACAGTGGCATCTTGGAGTAACCTCATCGTACCACCAGAATCAGAACTAGGTGACAAATCTTCCTCCCGCTCCGGCTGGATATTTAGGTCAATTTGACATTTAAAAGGTGAAATGGAAGTTCTCCTCATATTTGGGTCATTCTCAGAACCCTCATGACACACCATTTCCTGGTTCGGAGAAGTATTTCCTGCATCACCACACTGCTGGACGTCACCATCAAGCATTTGTTCAGGCAACAGTTGCTGCTGCAGCTTTTGACGTTCAGTTTCTGCTTCCTTCTCTGATTGTTTCTTCTCCCGTCTCAGCAAAAGGGTATGAAAACGGCGTTTCACCGTTGCACATACGTTACAATCGCATGACTGCTTGTGCTTATGGCCCTTGCCACTTGGGGGCTGAATGCAGACAATGCAAGTGCAACCAGGTCTATGGCGCGGGTGCTTTGTTGTGGCCTGTGATGATGACGGGAGGCTCTCTCCCTCTTCCTGGATAGCAAGGTCAGCAAGCTTGTCAAGCCCCTCCATAGCGCCAGCTGAATCTGGATCCTGTTTAGCAGCCTTCATTTTCTTAGAAGCAGCTGCGCAACAATTAGATGACCAACGCAAATATGACAAAACTGGCAGGAAATGGGAGTATCACTACCGGGAAAAGCATTTGTACAAACTAAGATAAATTCATCGAGTATAAAAAATTTACTGAATGAAATCCAAAAAGGAAAAAAGAGAACCAAGAAATAATCAATACCCTTGTTACTTGTGTCAAGTAGATCTTGAAGGTGTTCTGATGTTAGTTCTTGCGCTGCTAAACACAGAGATCTGATAGCAGAAAGAACAGAAAAAGTTATTGACACAACTCCTCTAGTTCTTTTAACTCATATGGCCTTCAACAGTTCCAAATTGACAGTTGCAGCAAAAGGAAAATAAAAGAGAGGGAGGGGGAGCCATCAATGCAAATGCAATGATGCCAGAATGAGAACTGAGAAAGGAACTTCCATGCAAACATAACGGTACAGCTTTTTCCATAACAATCATTTTATTGTGGACAGTCTCCTTACCTAAATTGAAATTAATATATGGAAAGAAAGACCTTTGCTCTCACGAGCAGAGCATTAAACACTACTGGCATGCAAGCTTGAGAAGTAGGCATCACAACAAAATGCACAAATCAAAAAATGATCCTAGCTTTATACTTAGACCCACTATCCATGGGGCATGGCACGATTACATTTCGAATGCAGAGCATTAAACCATATTAAGCCTAAACCCACAATGATCCAATCCAAAATCATATTCAGAACAAGCACACCAGCTTATATGCAAATTAAATCTGGCAAGGGAATGATAGGTGTATAGATATTTTATTGGTTTGAGGGCAATTTAGTCCACAAAACATAAAAGGCAAGTCATCAAGGAAAAAGTCCAACTTTAGTAGTTATGGTTGTCTGCCATACCTGTCTGGATCCCATGAGTTCCTAGAACAGGTCCACTTCAGGGGAAGAAGAGCATTGGCGGGCACTTTGCGCCACTTAAAACAGTCTTCACATTGAGCCCATTGAATCTCTTCACTGAAAAGGATGAAATAAAGCATTGATATTCACTTGGCCAAGGGAGATGATGTAATTTACTAAAGAATCCATACGGAAAAATAACAATGTGAATCCTTGAAAATTGGTTTATCTAAAAGAAAAAAATAGAAAAGACAGTCGTGTTGCAGTTCCATATGAGCACATATGAGAATTTGTTAATCTCCCGAAAATGAAACTAAACGCCAAATGTGTGGAATGAAACCCTGCAAATGTTGAACGAATACCCTGGATACAACATGTACTCGATAAAATTTGAGAAAAATTTCATGACTAACTCAAACCATGCATGGCTAGAAACAACCAGGCATAGACTAAAACCAATTATTTAGATTATCTAAATTACTGTTCAAGTATGAATGATGCCTACTGGAACAAAATCTATAGATAAGATAAGAAACTAGTGAAGGAAATACTGACTCCAAATCAAAGCACATATGCAATTTACCCCATATTATCTGCAGCAGGAATTGTAGGCCTCCCAATAACTGGTGCATCCTGCTAAAGAAAATCATGTCAAAACCCAAAAGATTGGAGCACATTCAAGTGCTTTGACATCAGTTATTAAAGTTTGAGAAGGATTCCAAACATTGAGGGAACAAAACAAGCATGAAAGGCTGGTAAAGTTCACCAAAAACTTGATGCAGACCATTTATATATAAAATAACAACAGATTAGCATCCAAGAAAAAAAATTGTACTGAGAAGGCCCAGCCAATCAGGTGAACTATAGCATCAAAGATGAATTTCTTTAGAGGATCAGCCTAGCCAATTCAGCCTGATGAAGTTTAATCTGGAGCTAGTAATTTCAATTTAACATTGCGCCTGCACGTTGACTGAAAGCAATATATGCATTTACTTCTCAGCAAACTGAATTGAGTAGCAATTTCATTCAAATTTACTTGTCCTTTTCCACTATTTCTTTGCCTTCCTCTCCATACTTTGTGTGCTTGCATAATAAATACCTCAGCTTACCAAAATCTCAGAAGATCCTAAACAGCCATGATATGATTCTCAACAAATTCTTCACCTGTTACCAACTTCCAAACCCAGTATAAAGACCTACTTTCTTTTCTGGTTATGAGAAGCAGGAGCCCAACAAAACCACCAAAGAGAGATAAAAGGAACTTTAATTTATTCGGAACATGAAATGATGTCTGGCTCAGTACCTCATATTCCTCAAATTCGAAGCCTTCTATAACAACAATAGTGGGAGCACGATCAGGTGGTGGACGGAGCAATCCTTGAGCTTGTTCCCATGTGAGGTTCAGCTCCATCCTGTCCTCATTTTCAACTCTTGGGCGTTTACTCTTTGAACCCAAGGTGCTGTTCTTTCTCTTCTTGCGGGAGGAAGGTTTGGCTTCAAGTACTTCCCTTGCTATGTATCCAGATTTATCAACTTTGGACAAGGTACTTGCTTGATCTGCTGCATTAGCCTGGTTGATTGATGGAAAGCTAGGTCATAATGAATTATCTTTTATAAGACAGTGAGTTGAAACAACTTCACCAGGTTTAGTACTTACAATACTGACATCTCTACGTGTAGAAACCACCCCATTACCAGTATTGACAGTCTCATTGCCCTGTAAATAAGAAAGAACATATTAAGTAGTTGCGAAGGTGTTCGAACCTCCATATTTTATCACAATCCTCAGCTGAAAAATGGAGAAGATGAAGATATTCAATAGCTTAAAGAAGAAAGAATCCCATTTTATTGATCCAGTTGCTGATTGGCTGTTACTAGGGTAGTGGCAGAAATTTCCCGACATTTATGGTTGTTAATTCTTGAATAGCTAGAAAAAACTATGTTTTGTCATACAAGACCAAACCTGATCTGATGAAGGAGCATTTGAAGCCTTTCTGCATCCCATGACCAACTTTCCTTCTGGTTCTACCCTACTAAATGTCACTGAACAAACCAATATCATATCTCAATGGCAACTCAATAGATTCATAATAAACTCATTCATAGAAAGAAGGCATGGCATGGCTCACTATGGGGAAAAGAAAAAGAAAAGAAGGGGAAATTTTTATGCATGTTGGAGTTATAACAGCCTAGGTTATTAGGGTTTATTAAAGTTTTTTCTCTTTTTACCTTTTTATCCTTATTGTAACTTTTATTGGCTATATATATGGGGCTCTACACTTAGTTTGTATCCTTTTTTGACTAACATATTTCTCCAGTTGGTATCAGAGCCAAAACCCCAGCCCCTAGCCCCTAGCCCCTACCTCTAACCCTAACCCTAGCCTCCTACACCACAGCCCAACCAACCACCTGTGCCGCTACCAGCAACCAGCGACAGCCACTCACTTGCAACCCCAGCCACACCACCGACAGTTCACTCCACCGAAACCAGTCTGCCCACCAACTGCCAACTCTGCCTCTACCTAAATCATCATCCACCGACTGCTCAGTTTTGTTCAGTCCAAAACACTTACTGTTCTGCCCAGAAGTCGGTTAAAAAAAAAAATAGTGAAATCATCCTCCTCACAGCCACCGACTGCCTGCCAATCAGTCTCCACTCCACCGACAGCCAAGCATACAGCCCAAACAGTCCAGACAAAACCCACTCCACTCAGACCACTTCCTTCCACCGAAACGACCAACACCGACAAACACCGACAGCCACCCACCGACAAGTGCCAAGCCTACTGCTGGGTCACTGCTCAGCCCACTGTCGGGTCGCGTTTTTTGTTGTAGCTTCTTGCTTCGCACTCTTCGTCACAGTGCCGCCATATTTTCGTGCCACCTTTCTTTTTTCCTAGGGTTGCAGTATCTAGGACCTTTTAAGAGAGGTTGAATCCTCTTTTCCGTTGATCTGCTTTTTACGCAGTAGATCACTTATTTATCTTTATTGGATTTCTGGGCACTGTGATCTTGATTATTTGGGAACTTTCTCAACCTTCTTTATCTATCACTACTGTTCGACTGGAAGTATTTTATTTTGTCCCTCTATTTATGTTAGAGTTTTTTTTCTGTCACAGGCAATGTTACCTGGATTGTGAATCGCTTTGGTATGTGGTACGAGTACAGATACATAGTACAACACATTCTTAGATACGTGGTACGATAGGGGTAAGTTTAGCTGGTACGATATTTTGAGTCTAATTCATTTTGAAACTCTTATGTAGATCATTTTTACTACTATACAACATTATATATTACAAAACGTTCATAAACACTAAGTTAATTATCGTTTATCTTATAGTTTATTTAAAATAATATATAATTATAAATTTATATACAAGTAATCAATTAATATGTATTTTATATTTGTGTTACATGTTCTAAAGTGAATTGATTTAAGGTTAGTATTACAATTTGAGATCGTCTATTTTGGTGATTTGGATCGAGAATCCACCTCGTTTGGGATTGATGTACCTAGATCGTGGGTCATTAAGGATTTAGTGAATTGTGATAACCATGGTCACAAGTGCCCACGTAATGTTATTGCTATGGCTACTACTATTAAAACCTATGTTGTTAGTACTTCCATCTGGAATATACCTCTGAGTTCTCCAGGACTACTTGCTGAAAGCTTTATCCAGTGCTTAAGCCACCTCCTTGCAGCCGTCCTGCTGCTATTGTTGAGGTACCCCCACTTACTGTCGCTGCTCCTCCTTGGCAGAGTGATATGAATGTTATCACTTCTCAATTAGATATACTTATTGACTTCTCAAGGTCCGACTACTACTACTGTCACCACTATAAGTATACCTCGTGCCTTTCATGCTTGTGCCAGTTCGTCTCTCCTTTGGATGTTGGACTCGGCTGCGAACGGTCATATGACAGGTGAGGCCCATCACTTCACCACTTTTGACGAGCAGTTACATACACACGTTTAGCTAGCAGATGGGACACATGTCCCTATTGTTAGTAAAAGTATAGTCTGCCTCCCAAATGACTTTACATTATATTCGATTTTTTATGTGCCACAACTGACCATGAATTTATTATTCATACATCAGTTAGCCAGAGATTTTCACTGTGCGGTTGTGTTTTTATCTAATTTGTGTTATTTGTAGGACTTGAGTACCAGGAAGATTATTATCAGGGGACATGAGGGAGATGGATTATATTATCTAAGCGATTCATCTCCAGTTTCACCAATTCCTCCACCTCCATCACCTGTACCTACTTTGCCTTTATCTGTTCCTAACTTGCATGCTAGTATTTTATCTAGTACTTGTCGTTATGATTTTTCATCACAAACTGTTCAGTTGTGACATGACCGTTTTAGGCATATAAATTTTAAATATTTATGTATGTTATTTCCTAGTTTGAGTAATACTTGTGTTGGTGGTAAACTTGATTGTGCTATATGTTCCCTATCGAAACATGTTCGGATCAGTTATATACCTCGCATGCACCAGTCACCCAAGCCATTGGACCTAATACACTCTGATATTTGAAGACTCTCTTTTATTATTGCTCTATCAGGTGCTCGATACTATGTGACATTTATAGATGACCATACCTGTTATACTTGTCTACCTTTTGCATAAGAAGTCTGATGTACTCCCTGTCATCACTCAGTCTCTCCAAATAATTAAGACACAATTCGATGTCATTGTTCGTGCTCTTCGTTCGAATAATGCCAAAGAATGTGTCTGATGCCTTAATGTCTCATTTTTCCTCTCAGGGTATCATTCAGTAACTCACTTGTTCATATACTCTTGAGCAAAATAGAGTTGTTAAAAGAAAAAATAAATCTAATAGGGATGGTACGTTGTATGATTAAAGGTATGGGGGTACCAAAATCTTATTAGCATTTTACTGTTTTGACTTCTACCTTTCTGTGTAATCGTACACCAAGTCGTATTTTTTAGTATAGGGCTACCTTACAGGTCTTATTCCCTGAGCAGACACTTTTTTCGGTCCCCCCTCGTGTTTTTGGCTGCACATATTTTCTTCAAGATCGGTCTCCTACTCGCCATAAACTTGACGATAAAGCAATTTGTTGTGTCTTTGTGGGCTATATTCATCAATCTAAGGGATATCGGTGTTATGATCCTATCAGACGTTGTATGTATCACATTCTAGATGTTACCTTTCTTGAGCACATTCCTTATTTTTCTTTTAGTCCTGTGTTTGCCCCTCTAGTTAGGGATAGCAGTGGACCAGGAAAAAACAGGTATTCATCCAAACCAATCCTGTTTGGACCGGGGATAGACTATACGTATTCAACGGTGGACGTATATAGAGATACCCATATAAACCCGTGCGAGGATGAAGGCGGGGATGGACTTACCCTTATCCCTGCCCCGTCCCCGTATACCCGTTATATATATATATATACTCCTAGTAAAACCCTAACCTACTCTCCCTAATCTTTATCAACTGCCCACCTCCATACTCCCAGACTCCCAGTTTCCATTGTCTCCTTCCAGGCATCGACTGCTCAACGTCGCAGGTCATGCGGTAAGTCATCTCTCTCTCTCTCTCTCTCCTCTGTGGCTTAACATCGTGGAGGTTGTGAGGAGTGTACCGAGTGATGATGAGCTTGAGTTCTCAGTGGGTATTGCTTCTGCGAACTGCCCCCTATGGGGAAGCTAGGTAGGTGATAATCACTGAGTCAAGTGGCCTGCAGTGCCTAATATACCACATCTGGGTAAGTTACTCCAAATTAAATTGCAATTGAAGCCCTTACCCAAAAGGAAATCAAATGATCAAATCTATCAACTATGTTATGGTTGAATTCAACTGGGAACCCAAATTACCAAAAAGTATGGCAAAAGAAGAGTGGCTTGTTTGTTATCTATCAATCTCTTTAGCATGAAAGGATGTATTTTAGTATTTATGCTAAATGGAACTTTCTTTTTTATGTTTTCTTACAGAGGCATAAAAAGAGTTCTTTCTCTTCATACCTTGTGCTACTTCTCCTAGAACTTCCAAACAAAAGAAAACAAATGCCGTGCTGCTTTTGGACACAGTTCTAAATATTTTAGAACAAGAAGAACACCTACATCTACTTTCTTAGCCATTCTTCGATTTGGACAAGTGTAAGTCACCCATCTTAAGAGGGATTGCTGCTTTTCGACCTACAAATTATTTTCACATTTCTCTTCTTCATTAAGGTACTTTTCGGAATTGAAAATCCGTAATCCCCAATTTCTATTTTATTCTTCTTCTCATTTTTTTTGTTCTTTGATATCTTCATCATGCGTAGAACCCAGTGTTTCCAATATTGTTTTTAAGTCTAAATAATATTACTCAAAAAAATAGATTTGGCTTAGATGCTCCTAAACAATGCTTGCTAGAAATGTATGAGGAACTTTAGCCACCTCATTAAAAATAGAGTAATGAGGTTTAGACCTAAAAGTTTAACTTAATTTATTGATCTAATAATGTTGTATCATTAAACTAGGAACCACTAAGAACTAAATCCATGGATTCAATGTCACCTACATGAGCTTCAGCTATGTTATCTGCTCTGTTTTTCGCTGCTACACAAGCATTCTATAATACATCAAAATTTGGCCCACATCTTCCTATGTGGCATTCTATTCTGAATTTAAGAACTGTTTTTTTACAGAAGTGGATTTCAAGAATTGATGTTGTTGAGTTACCCAGTATTTTCTCATATATTCAGGAGTTGGACATGGTTCCTTATGTCATCTGCTCTCCACCACTTAATCTACTTGTTAGTTGGAGCCTTCCAAAAAGTGAACTTGAGCTTGGGCTTGGGTGGGTACGGGGGAAGCGGGGACGGAGATGGGGATTAAAAATTTACCCGCGGATGGGGATGGAGATGAAAACTATACCCATTAACAGGGGTAGACTGGGGATAGACGAAAGTTTTTTAAGCAGGTACAGGGATGGAGACTATACCCCCCGCCCCCGCTTCGGTCCACTGACATCTCTACCTCCAGTTGATGATACTCCCTTTGATATTCTATTACCATAGGAGCCAGAGCCATTGATCACTATCAGTACAAAATCATCAGTCTCTCCTTCTCCAGAGTCACTCGTCCTTGTCAGTACAAAGTCTCCAATCTCTTTTCCTTTACAGATTTATGTTCGTCGCCCTCGCTCTCATCCCCCTACTGATGTCCCCTCTACCTCAGGTGACGCAGGTAATACTTCTTATTTCGCTAAGCATATTAATGCACCTGTTGTTAGTACTGATAAAATTACAGATATTGAGTCAATTACTTTTCCTGATGAGACATTATCAGTGGAGGATGATGATTTAGGGCGTCATTATCTATAGCGTGATCGCCGTCCAATTGTTCATTATAGTTGGACTGCTAGGACTTTATATCCGATCTCTGCTTATGTTTCTTATGGTGATCTGTCTCCTACATTTCAAACTTATAGTATGGCCTTATCAGATACGCCGCTCTGTTTCAGAGGTTATGCGGGAGCCCCAGTGAGTTCTTGCCATGCAAACGGAGCTAGACGCTCTTCAACGTAATCATACGTGAGATCTTGTCTCTTTACCTTCAGGGTTGAAACCTGTTGGCTGTCGCTAGATTTGCACCCTGAAATTTTTTGTGGATGGTACTATTAATCATCATAAGGCCAGACTTGTGGCAAAAGGCTTTACTCAGGTTCCAAGTCGTGATTTTGATGCTACCTTTGCCCCGTGACAAAATTGACTACTGTTCAGTTGATTATTTCTCTGGCTGCGGAGTACTCTTGGCCTCTTTATCAGTTAGATGTGAAGAATGCGTTTCTTCACGGTGATTTGGACGAGATTATTTATATGAATGCACCACCAAACTTTCGTGGTGAGGGAGAGTATGCTGAAAAGGTATGTCGACTGCGTAAGTCTCTTTATAGACTGAAACAGTCACCACAAGTCTGGTTCTCTCGATTTAGTGGTGTAGTTGTACGTTTAGGGTTTATCAGATGTCATTCAGATCATACATACTTTATTCGACAAAATACTTTGAACAGTGTGTCATCCTTTTGGTATATGTGGATGATATTATTATTACTGGGAGTGATATTTCTGGGATTGCACAGGTCAAGGTAGACCTTGGAAAAGCCTTCGATGTTATGGACCTTAAATTTTTGCAATACTTTCTTGGAATTGAGATTGTCCGTAGTAGCAAGGGTATTGTTCTTTCTCAAAGGAAGTATGTTCTAGATCTTCTATCTAACACTGGGATGTTGGGGTGCAAACCGACATTATCACCCATGATTCCAAACCTAAAGCTTATTGCTGAAGGTGAGGAGTTGAGTGATCCGACTGTCTATCAGAGGTTGGTAGGTAGACTTATCTACCTGGCTAACACTAGGCTAGACATTTCATTTGCTGTCAGCTGAGTTAGTCAGTTCATGCACAGGCTGTGTCAACCTCATCTTGATGCAGTTTATCATATTCTTCAGTACCTCAAGTATTGTCATAGACTTGAGTTGTTCCATGCATCAGAATCTCAAACTAGTTCTCTAACCTGTTATTCAAATTCAGATTATAGAGGAGCGTGTGACGATCGATCTACTACGGGCTTCTGTGCTTTTCAAGGGACTCATCTTATCTCTTAAAAGAGCAAAAAACAATCAATTGTCTCTCGCTCGTCAGCAGAGGCAGATTATCAGGCACTGACATTAGACACATATGAGATTATCTGGCTACGATCGATTCTTTGCAAGTTGGGATTTCTAGTGACTTCTTCAGCTATATTATATTGTGATAATCAATCTGTTATTCAGCTCGCTTCTGACTCTGTATTACACGAGAGGACGAAGCATATAGAGATCGATGTTCACTTTCTTCGGAAGAAGGTTAGAAGTAGTATTGTCACTTCATTGTTTGTGACGACCAGTGATCAAGTTGCGGATGTTTTCACCAAATTTGTCACTCTATCTATTCTTCGGGACTCCGTTGTCAAACTTGGCTTACTTGACATTTTTGCACCTAACTTGAGAGGGAGTGTTGGAGTTATAACAACCTAGGTTATTAGGGTTTATTATATTTTTTCTCTTTTTACCTTTTTATCCTTATTGTAACTTTTATTAGCTATATATATGAGGGCTCTACACTTAATTTGTATCCCTTTTTGACTAACATATTTCTCCAGTATGCACAAGCAAAACTTTGTATTTTGACCTCAAAAATACTTGCTTAAATTCAGCATATAGCATGCCAGGTGAATACTGACAACAAACACAGTACCAACATGTCCAATCAACATCAAAAGCATGCTTAAAAGTACTCAAAAAAGAAACCCTTTGGTGGAAAAAATACATAAAACAACAAAATGAAAAATAAATGGCAAGCATTGTTTTTAGGCAGCATTAGTTAGTCACCTGTATCACCAGCTTGCAATTGCATGGACTGTATACAAGGAGTGACCCCTTCTAAGACATACATTCGGCTGTTATTATTGGGCCAGAATCGGAATTGAAATACCCATTCCTGCCCTTGTGAATCTTGCACTTTGAGAGGCAATCCTTCTGGCTGAGAAATTGGTGGAAAATAGGCCTGTGTAGATGTATTTGAACTCCATTAGGATTGCGGAGAAGCATTGAAGACCCCATTATGCGATGAATTTACATGAAACTTACGTATAATGTGTGAAGACAAAAAGTGGTTTGTAGTTATATTCCAAATTTATCTGCAATACTACAACTTCAATTTACTATAGAGATATTGGTATATAGATATATGAGTCCGTGCATGCATAAGAAATCAGAAGTTAACTTATGCTTATAAAGTCAATATCATGATGAGAATGTCGTCAACATCCTAACATAGAGGACGTGAAGCATCAAAATGCTGAATAAAGTGAAAATTAAAGCACAGAATGTGAAACAACTCACCTCTGCACATTTTTTTGGCAGCACTAAACGCCCAATCCTTCCAGCATCGCTAGCACTTAACATCTTCTCGAATAAAGGAGTAATTACCGAGTTTGAACTAAAATCTAGTCAAGGAATGTCATGCAATGAATCGCTGCTCAGTTACATATCAGGGGAAAACAAAAAAAGGCAATAAGTACATAAATTGCAAGATAAAAGATTATATAAATCTATCACCAAATATTTTTGGAACTTGCATTTAATAAACCAAAACAGATCCCACATGAGATCCACATTTACAACAACCTATTGCTACAATTATGCTTAACAACATAACTTTAAAAATTATTCATAAAAAAAAACTCAAGAAATCAAAGAATCCTTCTAGAACCATAGGATACTCTCCAGATATTTGTTGTAGCTCTTGATCGGTTATCCTGGGCCAATACCGAGAAAATAACTGATTTCGTCCACGGGAATCTCCTCGAGGCTTTCCATTGCGTATTTGAGCTTCAGCAGATGAGTCCATTCCATTACTACCACATAATTGTTTTCCAGCTGGAGACGGAGGGGTAATTCGTTGTCTGTGAGTTCCAGAAACCTTGGTTTGATCATTTATGCAATTGTTGGATGCAGAAGGTAGAGCCAAACGAGAATTTGGAAAAGGGTCATTTTTTGATAAGAAAGACTGCTGAGAAACATTTATACAAGGATTATGTTGCTCCTCATAGTTGGTTCCTACAGGAAAAAAAAAATAGTTGCATCAAGTCAAGCAGCAGACCCATATACACGATGGAATATTTTCATTGCCATGATAGTAAAAATGTGCTGCAGATTAAGTGTCTTTTTTTGGCCTCTTAGTAAATATCCATATGGGAGAAGATACTTACCAGTATTGCCACCATTCTCAGGTATTTCTAATACACCGCTCTTCATGCTTCCATTCATTAATCTTCCATACGAGTTCTCTTGTTTCTTAATCTCCAGGGACGCGGCAGATAATAGCTCACTAAAACCAAGTTTATCAAAGCCACCTGATATATCAACGTCAAAGGGCATCCTCAGCGGCAGCTCAGACTGAGTAGTTGAACCATTGAACAAACTGGATGCTTGTTGACATGGTACTGGACCTGATCCAGCCATCGAACTCCAATTTTTGACAGAGAGATCTTTAATTCTTTCAGGCTGCACTGGAAGGAAGAGAGAAGGTGGCGGCCATGCAGGATTTGGTGTCTGTAAAACAGAATGATAATTATTTACCCAAAAAACATAACGATAATTAGAATTGTGACACGAATCTTTCATGACAGACCAAAAAAAAATTAATTCTGGAATGTGTTTGGAGCAGTCTACTGCAGGAGGAAGCAAAGGAAAGGGGGGAAAATTATCTGCGAATGAGAAATTGATATTGCTCAGACAGAATGTAGAAAAATAGGAGACAGTTACACCCAAAACAGATTCATTAAACTACTTTTACCAATATAGTTAAATACATGTGCTAGTTTTACCAATATAGTTAAAGACAGTTGGGGCTTTTAGCACCCTTTTCATTCCGTTAGACAGTTGGGGCTTTTAGCACCCTTTTCATTCCGTTTGGGTTTGTTTTTTGGCTGCATAAATTATAATAACCTGTCGGGGCTAGGAATATTGTTTCCAATTGGGTTAGGGCAGATTAGCAAAGTACTGTTATTCTTCATTGTATCTGATACGATACATGCTCAGTGTACTTGGAATCTCCAATAATCTCTATGGATCAGATTGTACTAAATTCAGGGCAAGACTTCTGGTATAAGTAAGAATTGAACAAGACCAATCTAAATTAGGTTAGGGTTTTAGGTCACCAGGCTGTGGACCCAAGTCATACCCAACCCTGTGGTACTCAATTCTATATTTTTTACCGAATCAGGATTAATGTGTGGAATTTGGAATGCAAAGGATGGAAACGATGGCATGATTGAACCATTGTGAAAATATATAATACAATCAAAAAAAATAGGGACAAAAATGATCCTTACCAAAATAAAACTTTTCCTCGCACATGTTATGCACTCAATTCCTCCAGCATCCAATAGTACAAACATGTGGAACGAAACTATACATCCACAATGTATTTGCTGCAAATGAAAACTCATCATTATGAGACTTGGGACTGAAAGATAGCTCAAATATTCCCGGGGAAAACAAGTTGAAGACAAAACCCATCTACCATAGAGAAGCAAACACATAAATTTGCCCAGCTATCTGCGAAATAACATTTCTTTTACCAAACCAAAAGCAAAAACTTCAAAATATTGAATTTTCTGCTCACCTTCCCACAACACTCGCAAGATCTCCAACCAGAAGCATTCAGATGGAAAGTCTCACAGAATTTCCCCTCCTCATAAACAGATCTAGATATCAGGGAACCACAGTCAATTTCAAGGTAAATTGAGATAAAAGTTTAGGCATCGATAACCACAAAATGAAGTGATCTTCAAACATTGAACAAGTGATGCAAGAGACCAACATTAAGTGATCTTCTAACGTTGGACAAGTGTTGAAAGAGATGAGCATAACATGTTATAGTTTAGGATATGTTTCCCATTGCATGAGAGCTAGTTTTAAATTTTTTTCTGGTATGGGTGGTCACACATCCTATTTATTAATTTTCCACACTTTGGGCTTGACTAAATCTCCCCGCCAACAACTCCAAGCTCATGCAGAACTTACAAGCAGAACATACGTTTTCTTGCAGACAATAATTACCCTAAGAATGGTCACACATTCTTTAGTGATTCATGAAAAGTTAGCTCTGAACTGATAGAGTTTAATATTAGAGATACTCTAGCAAAATTGAAATTCAAAAGATCAAAGTGAGTATAAATGCCACCAATAGCATGTATTAGCTAAGATGCATAACCCCAAAAAGCCGAAACAGACAACAGCATATATGTTGAGCCTCCAAAGGGCCCAAGTTAGGATCAAACTTCAATGATATAAATCTTTCAATAAGAGGGAATAAAGTTAAATCAGTGACAAGTACAGTCCTGACTTAAGTGATTATTCATGAAGAAATACTCGTATTTAATGTAATTCATAAGAAGGTATGACTGTTTATTTATTCCAACTAAATAACAACCTTAATTAGACTTTGTACAATCAAAAACAGGGAATAAAAAATTGAATAAAGTCCATTTAAATTCTCATAAGGAACGGGGTCAAGATATTACTATCTACCGTCAATAGAGTTTTCTGCTGCTTCATAAGGAAAACAAAAAAAAAATCATTTATTGATGGCAAAGTCCATTTCAATGCAAAATGCTTCCTAAAAAAATTTAGCAGGGCATACTTTTGAATGGCTTGATGGTTAATAAAAGAAACTTGGCAAACATTTATCAAAATCTTTTAGTTTGATTCATTCCATAAATGTATCCTCAAACATAAAATTACCCATGCAAATAGTTTTCTCTGGAATTCTGACAAAAAAAAATAGAGCAAAAACAATATTTCCATTTTATACCAACCACTAGCAAAGAAAACACTTAACTAGTAGAAATGAATGCTACAGTAAACTCAATGCCCATAAATATTGCTGTTTTTCCTCATTTTCTTCCAATATAAAAAATTCCTTACTATTTTCCAATCAAATTTCAAGCATACAAACCTAACTAGAAAAAACCCCAGTCTTGCTCTACAACAAGTTCATGAAAGAATAATTAAGCACCAAATCAACTAAACCAACAAAAACACATTCAACAAAAGAGACACTAAACTCCACTTAAACCACTCCAAAACTCCCCAACTACTAAAAACAAAACACTAATTCACCGAAAAATACAGAACAGAAAGGTAAAACACCGAAGCAGTCAAAAAATCGCTTACGCGCAACGATCACAGAGGTCGGCGAACTCTCCGGTGCGACGACGCCAACCTTTTCGGGATTGCGACAACAATTCTTTACAGCTCAAATTGAAGCAAACCTTAGTCGAGGAAGAAGACGACATCGAAGCTTACAAAAAAAAAACAAAAAAAAACAAAAACTAGCCTCACATAAACCCTAACTAGTCCAATATAGAGATAGTAACAATTGGTTGCAACAGTGACCTGATTAAGAGAGAGAAAAAGGGGTTTGGTTGCAGAACGGTTAGAGGAAGGAAGCTGGAAAAGTGAAGAAGAAGAAGTGTGAGAATGAGTGTATTTATAGGTGTTTGTATACGTATATATTTCTGCGTGTGTGCGTGTGGAAAGGCTTCTTCAAAAGCACGTCGAGTGGACTCTCGAGTCGTGCCTCATATCGGCGTCGTCCCCTCTCTCTCTCTCTCTCTCTCTCTCTCTCGTCGCTGTCATTGGCTACAACAGCACATTATCTGAAAGTACGTATATTACAGTTCTATGCATAGAAATACTGCGAGTTTTATATGCAATTATTATTTTTTTGGCTAATCTCACTTTGTATCCCAAAAGATATTTTGATTTTTAATTTTTACCCTTAAACATTAAAAATTTCAATTTATACATTCAGTTTTATGAATTGATAACAATGTGAACCTAACCAAAACTGTTGTTCATTTTTCCGTCATAAATTGAAGCACCTGAGGTGCAAGTGCTTCGGGCATGAAAATGAAATATGTATATCACTACAGATTTTTTTTTGTGATTAATTTGACACCGTTTTGTGCTTCAAAAATATTAATCAGATAGAGATTAATCCTACCATACGCAACTTATATGAAGCTCCAATTGTATGTCAATTTATACATAAGTCTATGCCTGAAGTACATGCAACCCATGTGCTTCAATTTATGACAAAAAATTGAAGGCAGTTTTTAAGTGAGGTCCACATTGATATTAATTCATAATATTGAGGGTATAACTTAAGAATTTTAATGTTTAAGGATACAAATTAAAAATAAAAATATCTTTTAGGGTACAATGTGATATTAGCCCTATTTTTTTCAATTTTAGTTTTTTTGTATAATTATTAAATTATTTATAAATTATCAATATTTTTTGATAACAAAAATTAAATAAAATAAGTGTTTACAAAATATACTTTCAAGTTTTCCTATACCTTTTTTTTTTTTGAACAGGTTTAGAATGTTATTTTTTTTTTATAAAATTTTTACTAGATAAAAAATATTATTGGACCAAAGACTCATTGGTTAATAATATCACCGTAAAATATCTAATTTGAGTCATAACTACTACCTTGGAATGGTAGTTCGTCACCATAGCAGTACCAAAATAAAGCACCAATCCATGTTATTTACAGGGATTAAACCTTATTTGATAATCATGTAAGAGTCAAGAATGACTCTAAACCATTATGATTATCATTAGACTAATACCTTACGTAATTTTTGAATGTTAGTTGAAACTATATTTTTCATATGAATACTAATCAGTTGGAAATTAAGTTCCAAACAATATTAAAAAATAGAAAAAAGTTTTAAAAAAGGCTATAATTTTAAAATTGATTCTAGATATTTGCATTTTAGTTTTGTGAAAAATCAAATTTACCCTACATTTATGATGGGTGGAAAAGGAGGGAACAAACAGAAAAGGAGGAAAAATAATAGTGAGAGAAATGAGAAAAAAAATAATATCAATTTCACTTGTTTGGTTGGGAAAAAAAAAGGAGATGAATCAAAAGAAGAAAAGGAATAGAGCAGATAAAGTGAAAAACTTTCACTAGTTTTAACTATTGTTTTCTTCTTCTCTTTTTTTTTTTTTTTCCCTTTTCTCTTGGTTGACATAGGAGAGGAAACAAGTGAAAATACTTTCTTGGGCAAAATATATTTTTTATTCCCAAATTATGCACTTTATCTTAGTTTGGCGCTCAATCTTTTAATTATATTAATTTTATCTCCTAAATATTCAATTGTGTCATTTTGATACAATCAAAATCGATAGTTTAAATCGGATACTAACGGAGATGGTGACAAATATATCACGTAACTACACTTGAAAGGTAATTTTTGAAAACACGAGCTACTAAAAAGACAAATTCTAAACATGAAATACCAAAGTGGCAAACATTCAAAACACGAGAGATCGAAGTGACCTTTCAAGTGTAATCATGTGAAACACACGTGAACACTTCATTAATCAACTTAAACTGTTATTCCGATGGGATTAAAGAGATATAAATTGAAAACTTAAAAAACTAAAATGACATAAATTACAATAATGTGGACCAATTTGACACAAAGCACATACTTCAGAGACTATTACTGTATTTTACCCTACTTTTTTCTTATTTAGTTGGAGAAGAAACTTTTAGGTGAAAAGAAATTCAAACACTAATTTCAGAGTCTTATCAACTTGGAGAAAGCTAATTTTGTCACACAATAATGCTATTTAATTTCATCACACAATAATCATTGAATTGATTATAGGTCCCAACAAATATTAGGACTTATTACCAATTCAATAATAATGAATAATTAAATCAAAATAACATTACTCAGTAAATAGGAAAATAGTTTCCCTTTTCATTTTATGTATAACCCAAAACTTGAACCCACTTTACGATGTATTAGTCGAACCATTGGGATATGACGCCCACTTCCTTGAGTATCATCGTTAAAGTGAATAACCTGACCCTCCAAAGGCTCCCAAAAAAATTGTTTCAATCTGTAGGGCAATTAAGAGCGATTCTTATGTCTTTCATTGGTATGAATCCCCACCCCGCGGAAGAGTGACGATTTACAGTCATGTTTAAACTGTCTGAACTAAACCCAGTCAACTCGACAAACAACATTATATTTGTCTACATCCCTTGTATTTGTAGGCTTCACGTTTTCTAAACGCAACCTCTTGGCTACCACAAGAACTCAGCCGAAATTGGTTCATGACACTTTATAGCCATGGGACATGGTGAGCCCACATGATATTATAGGTCAAGTATTGGGATATTTTGCTCATATAAGAAGTCAATAATTCGGAACGTTGTCCGATATTTTTAGACAATAACCAACTTTTAATATTACTTGCACAAAATGATCATATTCAAAAAAAAGAACTCAATAACTCACAATTGTCTAATACTTTTACTTTTGAACTAGACAATAACCAACTTTTAATATTATTTACAAAAAATAATCATATTTAAAATAGAACTCAGTAACTCAAAATTATCATCTGATACTTTTACTACTGACCTAGACGTGGACAATGACAGATTCTAAAATGTTTCTCCATTTTTTTTTCTCTAAGAGATATGATCAAGATGATATTGCTGTCAAGTTACATAACTCATAATTATCCAATACTTTTACTACTGAACTAAGCAATAATCAACTTTTAATATTATTTACAAAAAATAATCATATTTAAAATAGAACTCAGTAACTCAAAATTATCATTCGATACTTTTACTACTGAACTAGACGTGGATAATGACAGATTCTAAAATGTTTCTTCATTTTTTTTTCTCTAGGAGATATAATCAAGATGATATTGTTGTCAAGTTGCATGTACCATTTTTGTTTTAAGCATTTAGTGGTGTCCATTGCATGATGGACAAACAATAGAATCAAGACAGTCGCATTATTTGATGAATTTTTATGTCACCAACCTGGTGGTGTGGATAATGCATGCAGATAACTCCAACTAGCCTACTATGATGTTTTTGTCTTGTATGTTAGTAACACCAGAGGCTCGTTGCCCACAAAGTTTTCACACAGTCCACTCCTCGCGTGCCATGCAAGAATCTCTGTTGCGAGTAAGAGTACAATATCGAAAAATTATTTTTCGGTCTTCTCCTTTAATTTTTTAATTTTTTTATCGAATTATAGCAAAATAGAGTTGTTTGAGATTGATCCTAATATTTTAGTATCGACCAATACACAAAAAAGTTTATAATGTTATGATCGATTCGAATTGATCCTAATTTTTTTCGTTGTAACTTAACCTAAAATAAACTACTTAAGCCATTAAACAAAAGAGATATCATATGAAAGGTAAACATACACATGAATCTGTCAGAATAGCTCTGACTGAAAAGACATAGAGCTAACTAATTCGTTGTCCCAAATTTTCACAACATACATTGTAATTAACGTGATGTGTACTTTGTATGTCAAAAAAATCCGTGATTGATACGATTCTCACATATAGGTGCACACACTCGCTCGCACTAGTTTAAACTATTAAGTGTAGGATCAATATGGAAAAGTTTAGAGTTAATTAATGAAGAAAGGGATGTGTATTTAAGATATCAAAGTTGATGATAAACACTAAACAGACCAAACAGTGTTTAATCTCGAACACATCTAATTAAGGTTCTAACAAGGTTGGTTCTCTTGTTTCCTTCATAGAGATATAACGATGTCGAGAACGTTGACGAATAGCCACATGCCTATCTTGCATGAGGCTGCCAATGAGATATTAAAGCCTTATTATTCCATTGATAATCCCCACGAAGCCTAATGTAATTAACTAATAAGAACGAGAGAGATATAGAGAGATATAGAGAGAGAGAGGGAGGGAATTCAAAGATGATTTGGCACCTATAGGAAGATTGTTCATCGTATTCTTTTCTTTACGATAAAACCTTGTTATGGGTATGACTCGTTTCAAC